GATTTTATGGTTCATCTTCGGCATGCTGGTCTGCACTATAGAAATCTACTGCATCTCGATGCGCGAAATCACCGTTGGCCGCGAGACTAACCCGCTGTACCTGCTTTTTTTGGGCATTGCGGAAATGAGCCGGTTAAGCCACTACGGGCTCTACTTCGTGGTTCTGCCGATGTTGCTCTACGACGCAACGCAGCTGGTAGACTGGTACTACTTCAAGAAGCACCTGCAGTCGGGCATACTGCTTGCGGTGTTTGGCGTCGTGATGCAGGTGCTGATCATTGGCTCGCTGATGCAGGTGTTTTGGAAGAATGAGCTGTCTGTCGCGGCGTGCTTCCTGGTTGCCTCGGCGGTAAGCGCGACGGACCCGATCGCGGTGCTCGCGTTGCTCGAAGAGATGCACGCGCCGGTACAGCTGGTTAGCGTATTTGACACGGAGAGCTTGATCAACGACGGCAGTGCGATCTTCCTGTTCTCGTTCTTTCGGCAGATTTTGCACAGCACCTCTGACTACAGCCACTGGGGCACTGTGCTGCAATTCTGCCGGCTGCTGTTCATCGGGCCGCTTTGGGGCTACTTCGTCGCTGCCGTCACCTACCGCTGCATCAAGCACTTCCGCATCTACAGCTATGACATCTCGCTGCTCGTAATTTGCTCCGCGTACTGCGTCTTTTTGATCGCAGAGTATTACCTGAAGACCAGCGGCCCGCTCGCGATTGTCACCTACGGGCTTTACTTCAAGGCCTATGCGCGCGCAGCTTTCGAGAAGCACACAGAGCAGGTTCACCACACCATCTTGCGCGGTATCAGCACCGGCTTCATGTCGCTGGTCTTCATCATCAGTGGCATCGCCTGCGCGCGCATTTTGTTCGAGATCTACAGCCACCACTCAACGTTGCTGATCGATGCGTCCGAAACGCAGGCGTTCAACATCTTCGACGCGGTCATGATGAACTCGGGCGACGTGCCTTTCTTCCAGTCGGGTTCTGTTTATTTGCCTACTTACGAGAGCGGCGGCGCGTCGCCCGAGAAGGAAAACTACTTAATGGGCTTGATCTCGGAGAACGCGGCAATGAAAAGCGCGAATTACCCGAGTTTGTGGAACATTCCGATTTTCTTCGTGATCGTGCAAGTCGCGCGGCTGCTCATGGTAGGCTGCTTCTATCGCAAGCTCACGAACGACGTCGGCGAGTTTTCATGGAAGCAGGCGTTGCTCGTGTGGTGGGGCGGACTGCGCGGCGCAGTGTGCTTGATTCTCGCGCTGATGCTGGAGCAGGAGCAGGAGCTGCACGAAACGTACGTGATTCACGCAACGCTGTACATTGCGGGCTTCACGGTGCTCTCGCTGCTGATCAACGGCACCACGTTCGAGTTCCTCTACCGCAAGCTGCAGCCGTTCGAGACGAATCCGTTCAAAGAAGTGTACTTGCGTAAGGTGCTGGCGCTTGCGGAGCTCGACTTTGCGCGCGAGCTGAAGAAGCTGAGCAAGCAGTGGTTTTTTCACGGGACCGACGTGCTGAAGCTGAGCAACCGACTCGCGATCAACTTCAACGACTGCGAGTTCTCGTCGATCCGCGGACTGATTCCGCCGCGCATCTGCGTACAGCGCGAATTCGGCAAGCTCGACATGCGTACGCTGAAGCCTGTGCGCCTCGAGGACATCGACCTGTGGGGCAGCGACGCAGCGCTCAGCTACGACTTCCGCGACAACAGCGTGAACCTCGCCGAGAACTTGTCGCGCATCAACGAGCACACGCAGAACCGAATCAACAGCCTTAACGTCTCTTCCTCGGTTTTCCACTCCGTGAACGCCGAAGTGTTTCCAGACGCAGGCCCGCCGCCGGACGCGGCACAGCACCGCGCGCGCGACTTGTTGCTGAACCTGGAGGAGGACGAAAACGAGGAGAACGTCAGGATCGAGCACTCGCACAGCATCTTCGACGTCGCGGAGCGCGTCGCGAAGAACAGCGCGATCAGCTTCGAGCTCTTCGACGACCTGCACATCGCCGGCAACGAAGCCGCTGTGCATCGCACGTTCAGCATGCCAGGCAACATCGTGCGCAGTGTGATCGTGCACTCCTGGCAGAAAGACCGCGAAGTAATTACGATGATCATGAATTGTTTGCGGCGCATGTACCACTTGATTCACGAGAACGGCATGCTCAGCGGGAACAACGTGGTCGGCTTGCTGGCTATCTTAGACACGATCATCGACTACACGATGCTCGACGCGAACCGCGGTGACAAGGCTGCAAAGTGGAAGACGATTCTGAGCGAGTCAGCGCGCTACGACTCGCTCTTCATCTCCGAGCCCGCCCGTTGCGCGCCACGCGCCGCGCTTCTAGTGCGACTGCGGCAGTTGTTCTCGAGAGAGCACCGTGAGCAGCGCGCACGCGCGGAGACGGCCGCGGTCAAGAGCCTACTGCTTGCGAACTCGCCCTTCGACCTCGAGTGGAAACTGACCTGTTCCACGCTGCGCTGCCACTGCCGGCGCAACAAATTTCTGCACCGTCTGCGCCAGCGCTTCCGGCGACTGGAGCCGTTCCTGGTGCGCGTCTGGGCGTTTCTGGGTCCGCGACAGGTGAACCCCGCGCTCGACGACCTGCAAGCGTTGATGGCTTTCGCCGACACGCACACGCAGTTGCTCAGCAAGAGCTCGAAGGGCATCCAGTTTTTGCTGGGCGAGCGACTCTATGAGAGCTATCTGCGTCGCGTCAAGCAGGCGAAAGTTAGCGCCGTGCAGCTGCGCGAACTCTACCCTACGAGCTACGCCTATGCGGCCGTCGCGCTCGGCGCGCTCTATATACTGAACATAAAGTTGAAGATTATTGAGTCGTTTTGCAGCCGCGGCTTGATTCTCGAGAGCGACAAAGACCAGCTCGCTGACGCCGTGATGCTGAACGTCATCGAGATTAATAAATATTACCCAAGGTATATGTTTTCGTAGATTCTAATCTGAAAATCATAGTTATTCGCGTCGAATGATTGACATCAACTTGCTGCGCGTTCACAAAGGCGGAGACTGCGAGCTGGTAAAGGCAAGCGAGGTGCGCCGTGGTCGTTCCGGCTCGCTCATCGACGAGATCGTCGCGCTGGACAACGCGTGGGTCAAGGCGCAGTTTGAGGTGGACAACGCGAGACAGAAGTTCAATGCGTTGAACAAGATGATCGCTACCAAGAAGAAGCAAAAGCAAAGTTGTGAAGAAGAAGTGCAGCAAGCCATTGCGTTAAAGGCTGCGCTCGCGAGCGAGGAAGTCCGCTGCAGCGAACTGCGCGCGCAGCGCGACCAGAAGCTGGCGCGCGTGGGCAATGTGTTGCACGCGTCGGTGCCGACGTCAAACGACGAGGCGGACAATAAACTGATGGTGCTCTCCGGCGAGCCGCGCGTGAAGCAAATAACGCACCAGCCGGGCGGCTATGCGCACTACGAGCTGCTCGAGCGACTCGGCGGCGTCGAGACCGCAAAAGCTGCTGCTATCGCGGGACACCGCGCGTACTACTTGACTGGCTACGGCGCGATGCTCAACCAGGCTCTGTTCCAGTACGCGGCAAGCTTTCTGCGGCGGCATGGCTACACGAGCGTGCAGACGCCGTTCTTCATGCGCAAGTCTTTCATGACTAAGGCCGCGGAACTGGAAGACTTCGAAGAGACGCTCTACCGCATCCCGATGAGCGAAGAGCGCGACGAAGAGGACTTGTACCTGATCGCGACTTCAGAGCAGCCGCTCTGCTGTCTCCACGCGGACCAAAGCTTCAGAAACTCGGAGCTGCCCATCAAGTACTGCGGCATGTCGACTTGTTTTCGCAAAGAGGCCGGCGCGCACGGCAAAGACATGAAGGGCATCTTCCGCGTGCACCAGTTTGAAAAAGTCGAGCAGTTCGTACTTTGCGAGCCAGAGCAGTCTTGGGAGATGCTCGAGAGCATGATTCGGCTGAGCGCGAGTTTCTACGAGTCGCTGAACATCCCCTACCGCGTCGTGAGCATCGTCTCCGGCGCGCTGAACAACGCCGCGGCCAAGAAGTACGACCTCGAAGCCTGGTTTCCGAGCCACGAAGACTTTCGCGAACTGGTCAGTTGCAGCAACTGCACAGACTATCAGTCGCGCGCGCTGAACATCAAGCTTGAGCAAAAAGCGTTCACCTGCCTCGACAAACAGTTTGTGCACCTGCTCAACGGCACGCTCTGCGCGACCGAACGGTCGATGTGCTGCTTGCTTGAAAACTGGCAGACCGAAACCGGCGTCGAAGTGCCTTTGCCGTTGCAGCCCTACATGGACGGGCTCACTTTCATGCCGTTCGCGCAGTGAGCCGCGCGCGCTCCGCGAAGCGCAGCCGTTTTTCGACTTCTGAGCGTTCCAGCGGCGCGGCGCGCGAAGCGTCGTCTGAGCACAGCGAGACCAGGTTTAGCGTCAATTGCTCCGCCAGTTGCTGCAGCGCGGCGAACGAGGCTGCGTCCACCTGCGTCGCGCCTGCGCCGGACTCCGCGAGCGCCGGCGTCGCTTCGGCGACTCCCGCAGCCTCCAGCGCCTGCCGGTCGAGCGTATAGTGCGGCTGCGACTGCGACAGCAGTAGCCGCGCTAATGCTTCCGCCGGCAGTGCGAACGTCGGCCTCGGCGTCGTGTCGCGCTTCTGAAGCTCTAGCGCCGCCCCCTGCTCCGCCAGGTACAGGCTCGGGAGGTTTGCCACGCCGCTCGGCGCGTTCCGCTTCGCGCTCGGTGCCTCCACCAGGTTCACGCCCAGCCCGCACGTCTTCGGACTCACTCCCAAAAACAATGGCATGAAGAACTGACGACCTAGTAGTTGGTACTCGTCCAGCTTCGCTTTGTGCTGCAGGAGCTGTTCCGGCTCGCTGAATGCGGGTCCGCCCGTGCGCCGCCGCTCGCTTTGCGCCTGCGCAAGCAGCTGTGCCGCCGGGACTTTCGGGAAGGTCAGCTCGCTCACCAAGTCTGCCGTAACCTGTCTGCCTTGCGGAGACCCGGACGCGGCTTGCATCGATTACCCTATATTATAAATCTAAATCGCGTGAATTGCAGCGACTAGTGGTGTCCGTTGCTCGCGTGCGACTTTAGGTGCGACGACTTGTGCGTCGAACCGGCAACAAAGTACTGCCGCTGTACCGGCTGACACACGCCGTTCGACAGCTTGTAGCCGCTCGGGCAGTCCAGTTGGTACGGCACGATGCGCGTTTTCGAACACTGCCCGTCGTTCGCGATCGTGAAGCCCTTCGGACAGGACAGTTCCGGCTGTGACATCACCAATTCCTCGCACGCGCCGTTCTTTGCCGGCGCGCCGTTGGGGCACACCACCAACGGACTCAGCTGTGAGAGTTTCACGCAGATTTCGTTCTCCAGATGGTAACCCTTAGCGCACGTAGCTTTCGCGTTCATGACGTCCACGTGGATGCACTGGCCGTTCTCGCCCATGCTGCCTTTCTTGCAACTCAGGTTGAACGGCACAATCTCCATTGTGTCAGCGCACGCAGCCACCGACGGCTTAGTCTTCGTTACTGAAACGCACACGCCGTTGTCCAGCTTGTAGCCTGGCAAACAGGACGGCACAGGCGTGCGCTTGTTCAGCCGCAGACAGCCGTTCGGCGTCTGCTCCGTGCCCTCTGGGCACTTAGCAACCACTGGCACCACTTCCTTCACAATGCAGTTTTGGTTGTCGTCGAGCGTGCCCTCCAAACAACGCACCAGCGCGGGAATCGTCTCGCGCGCGATGCAGCGCCCGTTCTGGTGCTTGAAGCCTTTCTCGCACTGGATCTCCGGAGAAACCGTCTCAATGCGCTGGCAGATCGAGCCGTCCAGCTGAAAACCCTTCGGACAGCTGATCACCGGCTTGATGCTGTTCTCTACCTCGCACACTTTTCCTTTCAAAACGCCTTCCTCGCAGATCATGTGCGGGGCCGTTTTGTGGTGCGCTACGCAGGAACCGCCTTCGAGCTTGTAACCCTTCGGACATCCGTTCTTCGGCTCCATCTGCTCCGTCGCCAAGCAGATGTCGCCTTCCAGCAAGAAGCCCGGCTGGCAGACGTACGAGGCGTCGACAATATCGCGCTTTACGCAGTGCTTGCCGCTCAGTTCTGAGCCAGGCGGACACACCAAGTCTTTTTCTTCGCACTTCACCACCTTCACGCACTGGTTGTCTTCCAAATGGTAGCCTTTCGGACACACTTTTTCAGCCTTGTAGCTCTGCGAGTGCTTGCAGATGCCATCCTGCAGCACGTAGCCTTTCTCACAGTCGACGACGGCTTCGATTTCTTCAATCATTTCGCACTTCTTGTGGTTCAGCACAGAGTTCGACGGGCACTGGATTTCAGTTGGCTGTCTCACCACTTCCAAACATTGCTGGTTTTCGTACACGGCGCCCTTAGGACAAATTGCGGAGGGCTGCGCGTACTCGACCGAGACGCAGGCCATACCGTTGTCGACGTAGCCTCGCTGGCAGACCGCTTTCGGAGCGACTGTGGTCGTGTGCGCCCAAACGTACCCGTCTCTATGATGGCGTTCGCTTGCGCCTCGAGAACGAAAGCTGGCGCCAAAATAAGATGCTTCAGTTTCATGTCGAGCGTTAAAAGAGAAATTACAAACGTGTTTCCCTGAAGAGACAAAGAGTGTTTTTATGAACACACAGACTCACGTTCTGTTTCGCGCTTGCGCCGAGCGAGCACCGAAGTGTGAAAGTGGCTCTGCTGCTTTGCGAAGCTGAGCTGCACCGTTTTCTGCCGTACGCGGATCACTGCATCGACAAGGGCTGCCTTGGCCGACGCTTTCTCCGTGAAAGTAACCCAGCCGACGCCCATGAGTGTCTTTTTGCGCGCCAAAGCAACGGCTTCAACGTCGCCATAGCGCGAAAAAAGTTGCTTGAGTGTGTGCTTCAGCACTGCGAGC